AGAATCTCAGCTAACTGACGATACAAACCATTTTTACCAAAACAAAACACAAGTCTCATAAGAAGCATCTAAATGACCCCTGAGCGCACTTTGGCACAGAACTCAAGATAAAAGATTAAAAACAGGCTCGGGGCTCAACAGGTTAAAGAGGACCAGAGCAAGGAAAGAAAGGATTAGCAGTATTTTGGCTAGATCTTATTGAGAGGAACAGATATCCAGACAATGTACCTTTGCTTAAAAAATACTTTTTCAAAAATGTATTTTGAGAATAATAAAATAAATAAGATCAGAATGACATGTTGACATTAGAATGTTGTAACATGTGTCTTTTCATGTCAAATAGGTTGTGTTTGGTTAGAACTGGCTTGATAGAGAGTTCAGATCATGGACACTTGTACCTCTCAATATACAAGATAATGAGCTGAAGGTTTTTTCCTCACCAGCAGGTCGCTGTTGCAGCCGAAGCTGACTCCGGAGCTCTTCATCCTCTTCAGGTCGACGTGGGCGCCTCCGGGGGACCTGACGTTCCTGAAGCAGCCCTTCAGAGAGCCCTGCTTAGAGAACATGGACTTCAACCTGGAAAGAGACGGAGACAGAATGAAACAGCCGGACAAAAAAAATGGTTTTATTTAAGGCTTTATTTCTTTGGCCAATAAAGAACAGGAATCCTCAGCAAGCTAAATCACTCACACTGTAGACATGTCATTGGCATAGTATCTACAGGGAGCACTCTTATATGTGTATAATGGTGCGTACGTGAACACAGTAAGGGCTGATCAAATGTCAAATAAGAGCAAATATAGGAACAAATCAAAATGATGGTAGAAACTATAAGAAAATCAAAACAGGTGAACAAAAAAACAAAGATATCCAAAAAAAGGAAGGTATTCAAATACATCAATTCAGAAATAAAAATAAATAGAAACTGCTACGAATTTCCATCCAATAATGTGTGTTTTTCTTGTTTCTTACTTTACTTATTGACTTATGTTGTCCATACATTTAGTATTATATAATTAAGACAAACAAATGTATTGAACTTTTGAATTGAAAACAAAATATATTTTTTTTAGTTTGACTCACTTCAGTGGCATCTTGTTCTCCGGGACTCCTCCGAGGTAGAAGATGCCGGTGAAGGGGGGGATGCTCTCTGTGAACTCTTGGTTGTAGAGGACGTTCCGGGTGTTCCTCACCACGACACGGGTCGGGCGCATGATGATGATCTCCAGCTACACAGTTCACAATATCACGTCACACATCGACACATCACACTTCAATTATCAACCACAACAATCACAAAGACTCAAGAGAAACATCTTTGATTGCAGTTGAACATTTACGGATTTTATTTTTGACAATGAATGATTGGCTCCCTGTAGTTTTCAAACACAATGTATAATGAGAAAGAAAATGACACACAGAAGACTTACAGCTTTGGTGTCGCCGTCACTGATCTTCATGAAATCAGATGAAGGGTCTTTAGGCTGGAGCTCCACCAGAACACCAGTGAAGTCGTAGAAAACTCTCAGGATGCCCTTAAGCACCGCCAGACACAGGAACTGATCCTGCAGGAGGACGGGGACACGGAGGAAACTTTGAGAGAGCACTTCTAGCTCGACAAATCCTGCGGAGCTTGCCTGTAATGCTAGGAAAGGATGTTAAGAGTGTTCTAATGCATCAATGATCAAAAGTAATAAATAGATAATAGGCTGTAATGTTTGTTTCTTTGCCGAAGTTACAACAAGGGGGAATTCATCTCTGATTACTAGAGAATATATAATTCCCTACGAATACAATCATATTCTGCGCTAAATAAGATAAATGTAATCATTTACAAGACCCACATCATGTTTTTATCTAATACAAAAATGTGGTTTAATCTAGGGCTGCTCGATTATGGCAAAAATCTTAATCTCGATTATTTGGGTCAATAATTGTAATTGCGATTATTGATGAACAACAAAAACAAAAATGAAATAAAAACAACAACACCAAAAAGTCACTTATGTGGAATTTCAAAGTCCCATAGTTCACAATTTTGTATCGACAAGGGTGTAAAAAAAGAGGGTTAATTTTACCTATTTCACCTTAATGTATTAGCGTAAA